TTATTTTTTTTTTTTCTGGTACCGGGGGTCGAACTTAGGACCTTGTGCTTGCCAAGGCAGGCTTGCTGCCACTGAACTAAATCCCTGGCCCCAACATGTACGTCTTTAAAGCTTAACGATTGGGTCATAATAGTATCATACACATGCTGAATATGTTAAATGAATGAGTTAAAGGATGAACTATATTTAGTCTTCCTGTTTTCCAGTTAATGAGGAACAATATAAGAGTCTGATGTCAGTTACAGAATGTCTGGGAGAAGGTAAGATGAGAACCCAGTTATAGTACAGTTTTAACTTGATTTTTAGAAGCAGTAAGTATTCAGGGAGGAAATTCTTAGGCATTATTATAGTTTCATATTTAGAAGTAAATGGATATTCAGAAGGTATCATTGTTGTAATTATATTTAGTGTATGCAAAGGGATCTATGCATCTATGTTATATAGAAACAAAGTATTTTTGGGGGGGACATAGTCTGAGGAAAATATCTTCATATTCGAAAAGGTTTATTAAATTCAACACAACAGTGCTACTGAATCTGTAGAACTCCCTGTCACCACAGACGCCTACTCACTTTTTTCTTTTAATTTTTGAAATTCTAGTGATGGTAAGGTATCTTGTATTATTCTTTTTATAATCTATATGCTTAAGACACATCAAAATCCTGGAAATCATCATTTCTTCTCATCAACATCATGGAAATTTTTACCCAGTCTTTCCTTCTTGTGCCTGTGTTCAGTGACATGAAACAGTGACGTGCACTTTAAGCTGATTAAATATGCAAAAATGTGATCTATTTCTAGCAAATATTTTAATGTATAAATTATGTTTTTATATAGCCAGCATTTATACAGATTATGTTAGAAACAAGGTCAATAGCCATATGTTATTTGGTAAAGATATTTTTCACCATATGATTATTTGGAAATCTGCCCCATTTTGATGTGTTCATTAATATGTAAACACTATTGGTAAAAGGAATTATTGAACTTTTTCAAGAATGAAATGTTTATGTGTATTTTTAAGTGTATACAAACATATATGTGCCCTCAGATTTAGTTTTCAAAAAATTGATCTAGCAATGGGTTTAAAATGTGCATATCCTTTTAACAAGGACAGTTTCATTTATGACTTCAGAAAAATGTACTGGTAGTTTATTCTTGACTGGAACCAATGGAAACTACTACCAACATACTTAGAACTGGACTTCAAAGTCAAAGGTAGGTTCTAGCTTAGACCTGGTAGGATCTTGTGAAATCTTTTCATTGGCCCGCTGGTGCATGCAGGTCAAGGGTTGTCAGGACTGCAGAGGTCAGGGAATATTTCTGCTTCTGTCCAACTTGCTGGTAACATTGCGTGAACTCTTTTATCTTCTTTAAAACATGTTTGCTTATTCCTGTCTTAGCCCATGGTTTTCAGCCAAGCACTACCCCATGTAAGAAGACATGTGGGAATGTTTAGGGATATATATATATGGCTGTAAACTCAGGGACCTGCCTGTCTTTGGGCCTTGGGGAAACCAGGGATGTCAGATGTCTTGCAGTGTAAGGAACATTTGTCAAGATGAGCACTCCCCTGCTTAAATATCCAGAGACACCTCCTGCAGAAACACAAACAAGATACCACGAGGATCACTTGTAACAGCGCACAGAACACACTTTACAGAGAGTTCCCTTGCCACACAGATATGAGGCTGTGTCTTGCTTTTCTAGCTGGTTAATAAACTTTTCCTTTTCTTAAATGGCATTTTGGGATAAAATGTAACGTTTTTATTTATTAATATCTATGTTGTATGTATTACATTGCTTTTTAAGAGAAATTTGTGGATGGTCTTTCCCTTTAATAAAAATGTTGACTTTTTTTCTACAGCTGTCAGTCTAATTAGATGACATTTGTTTATTTTTGACTGTCTGAAATACATTTTCAAAAGAATATAAGGTATATTAAGCATAGCAGATGTGATAAATGACACTTGGTGGGCGGTAGTTTACAGAGCAGTTTCCTGCAGTGAGGCCAACTTGAACACACCTTTTCCTGCTTCTGCCAGCCCGGCCCCAGTGGATCTTGTCGGAAACAGGGACAGAATCAGTGTGCCATCCTGCTTTTCTTTGTATGCAAGTGGCTTTGATAAAGAACTTGGAAGGAATGTATGTTACAGCAAATATAATTTTTTAATAAAATCATTAGCCCTTCAGTAGATCATTTCTCTTATTACTTCAAAATTGGGGTTTTATGTACGTGCTATTAAGTCTAAGCAGAAGCAAAAGCAGAAGCTTTTCTTTTCTCAAAATCTTTGTTTGGCATGATTTTATAATGTAAGTCAAAATTATTTTTGAAATGACCTACTGTGCGATTACTGGAGAAACAATTCAGGTGGAAAGAAGTCAGTATAGCATTTCCTTCTTAGTTGATGACATTGGACGTTTATTTCTAAACAGAGACAAAGCACGGAGGACACAAGAATGGAAGGAAAGGAGGACTTTCTGGCAGCTCCTTTTTCACCTGGTTTATGGTCATTGCCTTGCTGGGAGTCTGGACATCAGTAGCTGTCGTTTGGTTTGATCTTGTTGATTATGAGGAAGTTCTAGGTAAGAATTTGATACGGTTTCTTATGCAAATTGGTAAGAGGGTAAGTGACATCCATTAGTATTGTCAAAATTTTGTCATCTTTCTGATATTGTTGCTGTACTTTCATAGCCTTTCAGTAGTTCTCAATAAGATAGAAGCAAAATGTGATTATTTCCAGGGTTAGCTTGGAATAGTGGCTTTTGAACTTTGCATATAACCTGTAACAACCAAAAAGGCTTTATATTATATATATAACACACGGCTTTTATATTGTAACACACAAATTTTATCAAAATGAGTTTTGTCAAACTCATTCTCACAATGTGCTGTACTCTAATTTTTATCATATTTTGTAAAATTATGAATTTAAATAATTTTTGTTCATGAGCCACTGTATTTATTTACAGACTCACTAATGCAGCATAACCACACAGTTTGCAGAACCCTTGTTAGAGCTTTCAAAGAATACCCACCTGTCTCCATTGGGCTGATGTGTGTGTGTGTGGGGGGGTGACTCTGCATGTGCATGGTGGGTGTGTCTGTAAGCTGGTACTGAGGAAGTTGCTATTTCTGACAGTATCCTATTTTTTGTACCCTTTTCCCTGTCTCTGTAATCATTGCAATTTTTTAATTTTTATACTTATAATTCTTTATCATTTTTATCTTTTTAAAAATTTGAGATAAAATTTATAGTTTTATATAGTTCAATATTGTAAATATTTAAAAATACACAATTCATTGAGTTTTAGTATATTCATCACTTTGTGCAACCGTCATGATTATCTAATTCCTGGGTATTTCCATTTTTCCCTGCCCTCAATATATCTAATCCCCCACCCCTTCCTTCTGGCAAACACTAATCTACATGTAGTTTTGCCTATTCTAAACATTATGTATAGTGAGTAGATCATTTCATAAGTGGCCTTCTATGTTTGCTGTTTTGTACTTAACATCATGTTTTCAGGATTTAGTGCTCACTTTAGCTTATGACTGAATAATATTCCATCATGGATACATCTCATTGTGTTTATTCATTCATCAGTGATGGACATTTGGGTTGCTTCTACTTTTTGGCTGTTGTGAATAATAGCCTTCCTCTTTAATAATCCAAGGAAGGATGTGTACCTATCACTGGAAAAAGTGTGCCTTTGTCTATATATATAGTCTTGCATAGAAGACCCACTCCCTCCCATTGGACTGCCTGTGCTTCTGCTTCATTTGCAGAGTTGGGGAGGGAGGGCAAAAAATAGTAAAATATGCTTACCTGTTATCTGTCTTTCATTGAGGTTTTTCATTTTTATTATAAATGATGTGTCTATCAGTAGATTGACCAACAATTTTAATTCAGAGGCAGATTTCTGAGTTCATCTCTGCTTTCATTGACTTACAGTGAATGCTGTGTTGCTAGGGAATGCATGAAGAAGACATTTAAAATATTTCTACCTTTCAGTATGAGTAACAATTTTCATGTTTTTACATGCATGCAGCCAAAGCAAAGGACTTCCGTTATAACTTATCAGAGGTACTACAAGGTAGGCTATTGGAGACACATTTTTAGTATATTTGCATCTCTAAAACATCAACTTTATTCTACTAATTTAGTTATTAACTATAACAAAGAATCTAAATAGTAGGACCAGTTTCCCCTTGTGAATTTGTTAGGAAAGGTAGTATTTTCTAACTTTTAAATATCATTTGAGCTCTATTCTGTGTATAATCCGGACTCACAGATGAGTGCTTTTCATTTTCCTAGCAATAGAAATAACACCTTTGTCTCTCCATGATCATCATCATTTTTAATGAATGTGTGATAAATCAGACTTCTGCATAGCAAGTTAACTGCTTTTCTAAGTAGACCCAGGGTTCTGGGAAAATAAAGATGGGTCATGGCTGCTCTGTGCCAAAGTTTCTACTTGCTCTTACGCATCTTTTAATGTGCTTTGCATTAAAGAAATGGAAATAGTATTACCAGCTGGTTTTTAGGACTAATGTTGAATTTGTGAATATTGTTTAAAATATTGTTGTACATTATGTTTCTTCATAGTCCTTATCCAATGATGACTTATAAGCCATGTTGATTTCAGAATGCTTTTTAGGGTATTGACTGTTTTAAACTCACTTGAAATGATAAGCATAACAGTCCTCCTGATGTGTGTGAATTCATTAAAACCTTAAAAATACATATTTTTTCTTGTTTTGGTGATTGATGTCTTCTTAGTAGATCTGTTTTAATGCTTTCTTTTACCTAGTAATAGATGGCCAATGCTAATTAAGTTTTTAAGTGGAATAACTTAAGATTTTCTTTGTAATTTCAGAGAGCCTCCAGTTTAACATACTGTATTTCTAGAACGTATTTTTCTTTAAGTTTGATTCATGATATTATGGTTGTAATTTCTTATTGTAAAATTTTCCTTCTATTTTTAGTACTTATTCCCTCTGTTAGCGTATTTACATTTATACACATTTAATCTTTACTAAATGCATACCTTTATTTAGTCTTTATTTGAGGCTTGGTTCATATTTCTTTTTCTTCAGATTTTGATGGTGTGATAGTTTCACTAGAAACATTACATTTTATGTAACCGTCAGAAATGGGTCAGTATTATTATATATGCTAAAAATTTTACCTAAAATAACAGTATATTTTACTCTTTATATAAAATTATTTATTATAAAATTATACTGCTTTAACAGTGATCAGATCAGTCAGTGTATTGTTTAACCTTTAAAGAAAATATTATATCTCAGTCTTAGAATTTGTTAGGTGAAATTTCCTGAATCTAGTTGACTTGCCTATGATTCTTGATTAAGATATTCACATGGAAAAAAAGAAAGATATTCACAAGGATTGAAAGAATAAAAAATTACATTGGTCAATAACATTTATGGTTGGTATATAGGATTGCAATAAGTCATAATATCTTATTAAACTTATTTTCTCTTTTGTTCCTGTATGTATCATTTCTTGCTTATTATAGGAAAGCTAGGAGTCTATGATGCTGATGGTGATGGAGATTTTGATGTGGATGATGCCAAAGTTTTATTAGGCAAGTACTCATTTTATTTTTTGCTAATGGTGGAAAAATGCTGGAATTAGAAGAATATTTTTGCTTTAATGTCTATTTCACTTGTAAACATTTTCTGGAAGATATTTTCCTACTTTAATAGATATACATTTTTATTGAGGTGTTAAATGACTTTTTCTATAAGACTCCCACGTTTCAATTTACTTTTATAAATAGATATGTAGCTCTTTCAAGTAGATTTTTTAGAAAGTATAATTTTATTTGTGCTTTCAGATTTAAAGCACTTCATGTTCTGAACCTAATATTTATATATATAATGTACAACTATTTTCAAATATACCTAGTACAGCCATTTTAAGGATCATTTGACATAATTCACTTCCATTTGAAAATGTAAATTTCTGAAGACTTACATAAATTTACAGTATTTTGAAAAAAGTCATGATAAATATCTTAAAATGTCCTGTGCATATTTTAAAATTTTCATTAAAATATGAATTAATGCTCTTTTGACCAAGCTAATTTGCTCTGGAAATCTTGGACTCTTCTATTATCAGAATTACCTGTCTTGATTTATCATTGAGGTATTTCCTGCAATAAATAAAGATGTGGTATTCCCTCATTTGTTTTATTTAAAAAATTTTTTAAAAATAAATTTTATTTTATCCCATTCCCCCCCTCAAACCCCCTCTCCTCCCTATGAACAAAAGCTTTGTCCCTCATTTGTTTTAAAATGCTGTATTACCAGAAAGAATGGTGCTGGTTTTAATATGCAAATTTTCTATAATTTGACCTGGTAAAATATGTATTTCTGCATTTAAACAGCATCATTTCCTTTGCTTTAGTATGTAAGTTAATATGTATTAAAACTTTATATTAAAGTACTTAGAAAAACAATGGATATGACATTGTATTTTATACTAAAGTTAACAGAATAATAACATGAAAATCTTCAAAGTGCTATTTTGTATTTTATTAACATGAATAACTGGAAGGATGATATATCTATAGCCAATTAAATTGCTTTCTGTAGGTAAATTTCATCTCCTTTTAAGATAAAATTCTAAATGTGAAATATATTTTTAAAACCTAAATTAGGGATTAAATGTAGTACAAGTCTTTGACTTGTCAAAGTTTATGTTTTCTTCTACTACTGCTTAAGGGAAATTAATGTTTGCCACTTAGCATTGGATGCTTACTATATAATTTCTATGAAATTTTTTTTCTCAACTTAGTGGAATTTTCTATGTAAATCTGTCATTACCTATCTAAATTAGAATCTTTGTACATGCATTAAGTCCTCAGATGACTATAATTTTAGTCCTGTGAAGTAAATAAAATAATGTATCAGGATGGTGGCAATTTTCTTGCTATAAATGATTTGTTACTCCAAAGTATTATTTCAGTGATGAATTCTGATTTAATCCTTTAACAAAATGAATTCTGTTTTATGTTAATGTAATTTGGGCCAAGTTCTTTTATTTTTAGAAATAATTTTCTGATCTATATTTTATTGATTTTTTTCACATTAATACTTGACTTTTAGTATATTTTAGATTTCAAAAGGTTATTCCCATCAAAGTTTTTAACCAACCCTTAAGAGATTAAGTAAATGTAACTTTGAGGATTACAATTTGTTGATAGACATATGTGCTATGGATAAATCATAATTTGTTCCTTTTAGAATTATGTACTAGGAAGTGGAACCAAATTTGGTGAATCTCAGGATTCATTTTGGTAATTTGTCTCATGAATGCACAAAGAAAGATAAGACTAAGATAAAGAAACTATACTGTATGCATGTCCTAGTTCATATTTAGCTTGTGGCATTAGGTGAACTGTCAATCTCTCACCTATAATCTTGTTTCTGTGCTGTTTGAATTCTCTGTGTGAAACACAAACATAACAAGAATTTGATGATTAAAGTCTTTTCTAGTATATGAGATTATTTTAGTTTAGCAGTGCCTATGTTACTGGCAAGTGACTGCAAAGACAGAACTTGGTGAAATTTTGGCATACAGACTCTTTGTCTCTATGATCAGAGAGAAGTGACAGAGGTTCAAATACAGTGAGCATTTGCCCCAATGAGTCAAACTTTCTGGGCACAAATTCTTTGGGATGGTAGTTTAAAGGTTAAGCTTAAATGTGAAGAATACAATATAAGCTTTGGATTAAGGCAGAAGGAGTATAAGGGAATGGAGGGAAGGTAGGAGAAGAGAGCTTAGCATGGCAAATGTAGTAATAGTTTAAACTTTTCTAGGTGGGACATTTATTTAGTAAATATTTTTCTGAATATTTGTATCTATATATTTAAATCATATCAATTTAGGGAAATGTATACATTCATGTTTACATTTCTGTCACATTGAAAGGTTTAGCTTTTTCTGTGAACTTTATATGTCTGAGTGAACCAAGATCAGTAGCTGTCATTAACTTCATTATTTCTAGGCAAAGCCCCTTTGGTACATTTTGAAAATAGGCTAAGCTTATTCTTCCTTACATTGCCTCCTATTTTTGTAGCCAAAGTATCTGAAATAAAAATGTCTTTGATTTTAGTTTGGATTATTGGAAACTACATTGCTTGGAAATATATTCTTTACAAATTTCTTTCCCACATAAAATCAACAGGAAATGGTCTGAGGACTAAATGCTTAGAGTAACATTCCCTGAGGGTCCAGTTGTCCTTTTGTCCCATTACACCTAGCTGGCACCATCTCAAGTATGGCTGGAGCACAAAAGGAAAGCCAGCCCCCACTTTTGAGACCTTTGATAAATGTTGGTGGAATGGATGGAGTATGAGTCCGCTCAGGGCTGGAGAAGACCAGAGCTTGCCCATGCAGAGGCATTGTCCTGGATGTTTGGTTGGGGCTTGTTATAGGTTAATACAGTCAGATTTTTGTTTCTCTTTCTCTAATACTTTTGTCTTAAGAACCACAGGAAGGTCACTTAATTGAACACTTTTTTAAATGCTTTTGCATGCTTGTTGCACATTTTAACCTGTTACACTGAAGAATGAAAAGTTTTAATTTTATATCTAATACTTAGAAATTCTTATATTGGAACATGGAGAAAAAGAAAAGTTTTCACTAAATATTTAACTGTAATATTTTAAGACAGGAAAAAAAACTTCTCTTTTACCAAAGACTTGGATGGAAATTCAGACTCCTGTTTCAGCATTTGTCAGCTCTTAAGTTCAGTGAAAAACATAAGCTTGTCAAAAAATAATTTGAATGGTAATTGCAATTTGTGTCCTTCCTTTCAAATATATACTGACATTCTGTAATTCTTCTGTTGACTAAAGCAGAGAAAATTCACTGTAATCTTTAAAATCTAAATTAGCTGCCACACTATTACCTTTGCATGTCAATTTTGATTGCTGGTAGTTGTGCTCTGTAGAGAAACTGTGTTGCCAAAGCCTTAAATAACTGAATGGAGGGCTACAACAGAAAAAGCTCTATGGCTATGGATGTTCCTCTTTCTTGCAGCTAGTACTACTTACCCTGTTTTTCTCAAAATTATGGGGCCTTGCTATAAATATAGCTTGGCAGTATTGGCAGATTTTGATACCTTCTATCACCAACAGACCTTTCCTAGTCAAAGCTAGTTCTTTACAGCACTTTGATTTCTTTTCCTTAGGAGAGTCTGTTTTTACTACCAATGTTTAAACAATAGAAGTGGCAGTCTTTGCAGTAGAAGGTAATTTCATGTGCTAAAGGGAAGAGGGATTTGGGTTGTTCCTTTTTCGGAGGACCAGCTGAGGCCTTGATTGAATTTCTTATCATTAAGCATAGTGAGTTATTAATAAATGATTCTTGTTATTGGCTGGAATTACAGGGGCATGAGTCAGTTGCCACAGTATTACAGACCTATTTCATAATGTTAACATTTAAGTGTTTCCTCTGAGTTCCATAATGCAAGTGTATTCGTGCCCATTTATGGATGCTCTAAGCAGTAATCCTGCTAGTCATCCTAGCTTCAGAGTTTCCTGAGTTTCCTGCAGGTCCTAAGAGTTTGAGGAAAAGAGTTTTTCTGTTTTTATTGCATTTTATTGATAAACATAAATTTTTGTATAATCACCTCTTACTAATATCTGGTTGGTAATTTAGTGAATCTGGAAATCGTCAGAAGTTTGTATCTTTTTCTCTGATATGGCTTCTGTTTATTCCCATTACTTCTATTGATTTTGGCTGATACAGTTTTGTCAGTTTTCCAACTCAAGAGTCTATAATGGGAAAAAGGCAAGCCTGCTTGCTAGCGAGGAGGAATGCCCAGGATTGGTCGGATGAGAATGTTGCTGCTTTCCCATAGCACTTATGATTGACAGTTGATTGCAAGGTGTGCATCCCAGTTTATTTCTTTACTTTCCAAAATGCCAGTTCTGTAAACCTCTGTGACCTTGATGCACATCCTTTTTGAGATCACTCTTCCTCAACTGATTTTTTCCACCTAACTGCTCTCCTTATTTTCTTTTTCTCTCTTCCTTTATTCTTATGTAGGCCTGACCAAAGATGGCAGTCATGAAAATATTGATTCTCTTGAGGAAGTCCTTAATATTTTAGCAGAGGAAAGTTCAGATTGGTTTTATGGTTTCCTCTCATTTCTCTATGATATAATGACTCCTTTTGAAATGCTAGAAGAAGAAGAAGAAGAAAGCGAAGCCACAGATGGTGTTGATGGTACGTCACAGAATGAAGGGGTTCAGGGAAAGACTTGTGTCATTTTGGATTTACATAACCAGTAACTTTGATTCAGGGACTGAAGTCATATGGTTTATGAAAACCTGGAGCAGTCTCCTTTTTTTTTTTTTGCTTATACAGGGCTCAATGTGCAGTGGGGCAGTTGTGACCTTACAATAGAAGTCAACCGTGTGATCTTGCTTAGTACAGCTACTTAGTCCCTCGCTCTGCATCCCCACTTCTCATGGAGCAAGTGGCATTCCTTATTCTTGTAGCTGTCTACAGAGTCTCTTGGAAATGATGTTCTTGGTAGTATAATTGGTTTCTGTATCATTTTGTTTCCCC